ACTAATCAAGTGTGATCTGTAAACATATACGGAGCAGTACATGTAAACCTCTCTGAAGATCAAGTAAACAAAATATATTTAACATTTCAGTTATTGGGTATGTGAATGCTACAAAACTATATTAACTGTAAAGCTATAATAAATTTGTAATAGCTTACATTCTATTATTCCATAAAAAGACACAGAATTTAAATCTAACGTGCAACTGGACAATTTGTAAAGTATCCAAAACTATGTTTTCAGTATGAAGAATATTTTTGCACAGAGAGGTATATGAGATTTAATAAGGCACTTGTCAATTTCAAGAAATAATAAGAAGCACTGAAAACTCATTTTAACAGTCTCATTGGATGGTTGGTTCTATTGTTTGGAAAACCTTTCAAATCAAGGAGTATTTCATGCAAATATGTCATTTGTCTAATGATGTCATTATGAAAGTAATGCAAATTACGTCATTTAATTATGCCAAATTATGTATTTGGCATCATATGCATAAGAATAAAGGTATGCAAGTACTGCAAATTAAAATGGGGTTTGTTGCATGCATAATCTGTTCTATCAAGCTTTCACTGTATTACAAAGAAAGAAGATTGAATATATTGTCTATATTCACTTTTTCTTCATAACTATCATACATTCTAGAACTTATGAGTAAAATGCATTTGTTGACTATGACAAAACTTCACGTAATTATATATTATATAGTTTTAATGGAACCCTTTGACCCACTTTATTGTTTGATCATCAACTCCAGAGTCATCTAGAACTGTTTATGCACAGGACAGTCACATAGCCATCTAAGCATTATTGTGTTCAAAAAACTCAAATTACTATACATCCTCCATTATCTAGCATGAAACAAAATATCTAAATGGATGTAATACATTGCCAAAATGCAATCTTGGCAAGGGTATTTAGGATATGTAGGGAACAATCTGTTGAATGTCTCTCACTTTGTGATATCAATGGATTATGGACCAGACAACAGACCTTCCTAGCCAGAGGTGGATTTCACATAATGTTACCACTGGTTTGCCACCCATCGAAAATGTGAGCGCACGAGCGCATACGCCCACCCGCAGGTCACCACTACTGGTTCGCCCGAACCGGTCCAAACTGGCTGAATACAAACCACTGTTCCTAAGGATGAACCCCATTTTATGGTCCTTGCCTCCAACCCTTTAGCTTTAGATGTCTTAGGACTATCAGTGACTGGTTAGTATGAACTATTTTCTTAAAAGTCTCTGTAAAAGTATTCTTAAACATTTCTGATCTCTCAATATCTTTGCATCTGGGCTCCACTTTTGTAATCCATATGATCACTGATGCTTTAGGACCATTTTCAAGAATAACAATGTAAGTATGATATAGATAGCTTCTGCTTTCTACTCAACAGAGTCTACTTCTACTGATTGAATTTTGCTGATGAATTTCCAATTAATACCGAAAATTTCAACTTAACAATAGTACTGTCAGACTTTGCTACCAGAAAATCTTGATGAACACTGTCACATTTTTGTATATACCACAAAATGCAAGGTTAATTAAATGGGAGAATGTCATCATCTGAGCATTACTGATGTTGTCAAAGTGAAGTTGCTTCCCAAAAACTTTATAAAAAGTCTGCCAGGCTGGAGGTGATCTCTTCTTATATGAGAAGAATATATTCTTTTGACATTTAAAAATGTATGTTTAAATTAAATTAAAACCCACTCATTCCATTCCAGTGTATGACAGTCCAAAATTAAGTTTGTTTTATAAGCACAACAACCTAAATAGATTGATGCATAGTACAGCAGAAATGCAAAGGAAGATACTTTCAGTTCAAAACAGATGTTGGTTTCACAGAAAAATGAGATGATGAAATAGTAGGTAGAACATCAAGAATGTATGGAATGATAAGGTTAAAAGAGTTGTGATTTCAGCTGTTCTAAGAGCCTCGATGCCTGATGATCAGATCTTCTAATTCCCCAGACATCTGGTCCCTTGAGGGAATTCTAGGCTCTCTGAACAGGTTGCACCCATGCTTGATTAGGCATCAGGGGATGTTAGGATTTAAGAGGCTATGAAGTAAGTAGCTACTGCCATTAACATGAATTGAGCAATTGATAGAAGACAGATTAAAGGGCTAGAGGGGTATCCAAAAGGCACCTGGGGTAAAACAGAGGGTTTGAATTGCTTCTAGTTTTACTGAACTAGCAAACAGTTGTGTAACTACAAACAGAACCACATGAATCATTTAGGAGATTGAGTCCAACCCAACACTAAGTGCAGGAATCCAAATTAAAGCTTCCCAGAGATTGTTGTCTTCATCCCCTTGATTACAATCAGTAAAGAAGAACCTGCCAACACTCCTGGTAAATGGTACCACTTGTGAAGTGCTTTTAATATTAACAAGTATGCAAATGCTTCACTGAAGTAAAAATTAATAACTCTTTGATCACATACATATTGGTAGTGCTCCTTGTATTGTCAAATACATTTTTTTCTGAGATGAATTCCTTTTAACATCTTTGTTGTATCACAAAAATACTGGCTTCTCTATACTGTAGTTTTATTGTGTATGTGTAGTCAGCTTCTCTATGTCAGCAATAGTAATGTCATTCTTAAAGCTATTTTAGTGCTTTATTTGCCAATTTAGACCATTAATAAATCAGCTTCAAAGGATGCAAAGAAGGATAAGGAAAATCAAGGAGGAAAACATAAAAATTCTTTGTTGAAAAAAAGAATTCACTAGTGAGAAGGAAATATTTTGGTTTCAAAAATGCATGAATTGTGAAGAGACAGAAGTTATTGGCTTCTACAATATCTCAAAATCCTCTGAATTTGTGGTCTGATTTGTGGAAATGTGCTAAGCTCTACAAATGATACTTTGTGATTCAAATTCATTCACCACATTATTTGTCAACTCTCATATACTGATCACATTATTTGTTAACAAATTGATTCCATTTCTGCTCTTCAGTTGATGGATAGAATGTTCTTAGCCATATTCTATGCTAATTAGCTGCCTGCAATTACTGCAAGTTCAAATCTCACCAGGCTCAAGGTTGACTCAGCCTTCCATCCTTCTGAGGTAGGTAAAATGAGGACCCGGATTGTGGGGGCAATAAGCTGACTTTGTATAAAAAGAACACCGCTTAGGGGGGGCCGAAAGCCTTACTAAGCAGGTATATACAAAAGTATGAAGGCTATTGCTTAATGCATTGTAAGCCGGCCTGAGTCTCTGGAGAAGGGCGGCATATAAATCGAACCAATAAATAAATAAATATTCTTTTTCCCCTCTCTCTTTTGGTTGGAGGTTGTGAGATTGGAAAACCCCCAAACCAAATATTTCACTTATGCTGATGACTGTCCAATTTGTAATCAGGGAAGAAGTATTCAGGAAGATATATCTGATTTTCTTGGAGCCAACTTGTCTAATTGTGAACCATATCTCTTTTGCTATGTAGCCATAAAATTCCCTGCCAAGACAGTTATTATCCAATTTTCTGATGACTTTTGCCATTATATAATTATATCGATATTTGTCAAGCCTACAGTGTTGTCATATCTCAAGGACAATGTATTTCATATCTTTAATAAGAGCTTCTCTCTATGATTGACTTCATAAACATATCATGAGCATATGGATTCAAATATTAAACATCCATGTTTAATATTAAACAAATATGTGCTGTTAAATGAAAGAGCAAATATCCTATACAGTGAGAGTCAGCTTCTATAGGTTTACATCTTCATGCAGAAAAGCCCCATCTTAGTAGGGCTTTCTTTTTCTCTGGCTTTAGGTATTGCTTTTCACTTCTAAGAAGTCTGAATATAGTAGTTTCCACAGGTGTCAAAACTAGTAATAAAAATGCTTGAACACTTCCACTGCAGTTCATGGTTCCCACACCTGAAAATAGTGCCATATTCTGTTGCGATTACCAATTTAGGAATTGTTACTTTTAAATTACTTTAACCATTAGTTATACAGTTAACATAATCTTGATCATTTGATAAAAATGATCTTTTTAGGCTTTTTAGGACCATGTTCAAGGAAATTAGAACTGGTCTTTCAGACCTGTATATTTTGAAACTTCACATTTGATTGATTTACAAGCAATATTCTCAGCAAAGGGTCTCCAGCTTCTTTTTGATAATGGTGGGAGGAATCATAGATTATTTGACTGGCAGCAAGGTCTTCATCTGTAGATTTATAACATTTATAAGCAGATGGATAGCTGCAAAATCTCAGTTGGCAGGTGAGGCTTATTAGCTAGTATCGTCGCTGCAGGTAGTGTTATATGATTGAGCCACAGTGGCGCAGTGGTTAGAGTGCAGTACTACAGGCTACTTCTGCTGACTGCTGGCTGACTGCCATTTGGCAATTCAAATCTCACTAGGCTCAAGGTTGACTCAGCCTTCTTTTCTTCTGAGGTGGGTAAAATGAGGACCCAAACTGTTGGGGGCAATATGCTGACTCTGTAAACCGCTTAGATAGGGCTATAAAGCACTGTGAAGTGGTATATAAGTCTATGTGCTATTGCTATAATTAGAAACACAGGACATTTGCTTTGGTACATAATTTTTGTTATTTGTGGTTTGGGTTTTTATTTTTAAGAGTGAATCAAAGTGGCATACATTGATTTGTAAAAGGAATTTTTTACTTCATGCTCTTCAGTAGTATTTCATTTCAGCTTGCAGCCTGTCACAGGACAGGAACCCTATCTCCTTTCCTGGAGCTTTTCATAAATACTCTGGAACTCCTTTTTCTTTTTTATATCTGACTTTCTCTTTGACAAATCTTTCTGTCTTTTCTCTCTTTGTTCACGTTTATTTTTCTTATTCCTGTTCTCCTTTTTTCAGTTTGAAATAGATTTGGCTAGTTACTTGTGATATATGAAAAAGAAAACGTTTAGATTGAACCTCGAAATGAAACCAGATGGATTGCTAATGCAAGAAAAAATAAAAAAGGGCCTTGAAAGGAAAGCATGTTCAAGGATTGTATTTCTACTCACTTAGTGGCAAGCAGCATATTCTTTCGGGAGTGGAGATCAGTAGGGTCTGTGTGCTGTCTATTCAGGTATTCAGAAACTGCTTTGGCCGGGAATTCAGTTTCACAGATGTATCCAAAATCCCGAGCTAAATGTACAGCTTCTCCTAGGAAAAAACAAGCAGCTTTGGTCATCATAACCAGCTCAGGATGATTTGCAATCCACCTGAAAGCCAACAGTAGTGCTTACTATCCCAAACTTTACCTTGAAAAAAATACCTCAAAACTTTATTTTGTCCCAATCCTTAGCTCACTCTTTCAAAGTCTAGTACAGTCCTCAGCTTAAAAAAAAGTTATGAAGGAGGCCCAGTTAATGTGAAAGATCTTGAGATGTTCAAGGCATATCGACATTATAAAACATGTTTTATATGAAGGAGACATAACAAGTAAACATAAAAAACTGAGTAAACATCAGTGCATAAAATGTGGCATATTCATACAGCAACAATTCCAGTTAAGATATGGCCTCAAAATGCAGAGTTTGTGAAAAATAAAGGAATAGTGTCTCTGAACACATACTGTACATATTTGTACATTTGTCTTTTTCAGCACAATTCAAGTAATTCATATTCTGAATCATTCAAGTATGGCCATACACTATATAACAAATCAAAGGACATGTTCCAAGCACTGGTCCCCATCAGTTCCTAGCAGCTCAATAATTAGAAGCAAGGTGCCATGAAATGCAACGATAGAACAGCATAAATGCACACAACAGAATATTCATGCATGCTATTCGTCGATTAGAAATAAAGTTGGTGATACATTTATCTATCTTATTTATTTCAATGAGTTACTACAGACCTGGATCACATGAATTACTAAATAATACAGTACTGTGGCTTGGCTTAGCATACCATCTCAACTCAAACCTTGGATCAAATGATGGTTAATTAGAACACCTTGACTATAATGTATAATCATGGCCTGATTATGATTAGCAGTCTTCCAAGAGAACAGTGTCTGCATGTGAGAAGCTACAAAGCAGAACCTCTACTGATCCTCCTTTATTAATCTCCCATAGGTTAATTGGAAATGGAAGTAGAAAGAGAACAGAAGCAGAATGGGAGAAAACACATGGTGCCTCTCACTTCTGCCAGCACAGGCTTACTGCTGTTGTGTAAGCAAACAAACACACACAGTGACACACACATAGACACACACACATGCCTGGAATAGAAGCCTTCCTGTGTAGTATATGTTCACTTGATAACCATCTTATCCATGATTAATTCCAAAGCAAATACAGAGATCAATGTAATCTTACAGCCAGGTTACTCATGTGAAGTCTAAATATACAATACATGTCTCAATTTGCTGACATTGGCCTCTTGTTATTTTTGCCTCTTGTCTGTTTCCTCCCCTCTTGCCATCTTCCTCTCACAAATATTAAGGGTATAATCTGAAACATACTTGGCATTATCTTTTTAGAAAAAAAAATATTTCAATGGACTGGATAAATTATAAACAAATACAACTGAAGTTATTTCCATTCCATTCTCTTTGCCTCTGTAGACTGCAAATACACAGCTTCTGCCAACTCTTCAAAACTAATCTAAAAGCCATGATCCTAGACACACTTACTCCAAAGTCCTACTCTTGCTAGTAGGAATTACTTTGACATACAAAAGATGAAGTAAGTATAAAATTTAAAAAACTTACATTACTACTTATTTTCATATTTCTTTGCTCTGTCAAGCTATGACACTATATTGCAATTTAAACTCAAAGGAAGAAGATAACGGCATATGATGGCCGTGGCCAGGGGGGCTTTTTATCAGGTTCGCCTGATTAGCCAGTTGCATCCCTTTCTGGATCGGGACTCCTTACGCACAGTCACTCAGGCACTCGTCACTTCCCGCCTGGACTACTGCAATGCTCTCTACATGGGGCTCCCCTTGAGGAGCACCCGGAGGCTCCAACTGGTGCAGAATGTGGCCGCGCGGGGGATTATGGGAGCGAGGGGGCGCTCCCATGTGACACTTCTCCTGCATGAACTGCATTGGCTTCCAGTGGTCTTCTGGGTGCGCTTCAAGGTGTTGGTTACCACCTTTAAAGCGTTCCATGGCATAGGACCTGGGTATTTGCGGGACCGCCTTCTGCTGCCGATAGCCTCCCACCGACGAGTACGCTCCCACAGAGAGGGCCTTCTCTGTGGCAGCTCCTGCCCTCTGGAACAATTTGCCCCCGGAGATACGAAGGATATCGGATCTCCAGGTCTTTCGCCGTGCCCTGAAAACTTTTCCATCAAGCAAGGCTGGCGTGAACCCTCCCCCCCTTTTTTAGTCTTTTTTAGTTTTTAGCTTTTAAATTGTCATTGGGTTTTAATTCGAATTGTTTTAAATTTGGGCCAGTTATGTAATTCTTTTAATAATTTTAAATTTTGTATTGGTATGTGTTTTAGTTCTGGCTGTGCAGCGCCCTGAGTCCACTAGGAGAAGGGCAGTATACAAATTGAATAAAATGAATGAATGAATGAATGAATGAATAAATAAATAAATAAGCAGAATATACTCCTCTGAATTTTAATCTATAAAAGCAAATATATTTTAGTAACTTAGTAAATATTCTATTTGTCATGAATATTTAATTATTGTAGTAAAATTTATAAAAGACATATGAATTCCACTACCTCTGATGAATCCTTTGACATAGGGAAAGAAAAAGATAAACATCTCTATCATCTTTCATATTCCATCATTTGGTTAACTTTCTCTCTATAACTCATACATAGGTTGTAAATATTTGGGACTATTAGAAGCAGGTACAATAGTACTGATGGAAAGTACCAATTTCTGCCAGATGGACTGACATTTAGCTTTATAGTGAAAAAACTGGTCAGCCCAGATGAAAAAATTACATTGTTATAAAATATATATTAACAATCATAATAGAGCTAGTCTGCTCTAGTGGTTAAGATATCAGTCATAACCCAGGAGAATGTGAGTTCCAGTTCTGCCTTAGGCATAAAACCCAGCTGGGTGACCTTGTGCCAGTCACTCTAGTCTGGAGTTGAGACTCTAGGAAGAGTGCAGAGAAGAGCAACAAAGATGATTAGGGGACTGGAGGCTAAAACATATAAAGAACGGTTGTTGGAATTGAGTATGTCTAGTTTGATGAAAAGAAGGACTAGGGGAGACATGATAGCAGCGTTCCAATATCTCAGGGGTTGCCACAAAGAAGAAGGAGCCAACCTATTATCCAAAGCACCTAAAGGCAGGACAAGAAGCAATGGATGGAAATTAATCAAGGAGAGTAGCAACCTAGAACTAATGAGAAATTTCCTAACAGTGAGAACAATTAAACAGTGGAACAACTTGCCTCCAGTAGTTGTGGATGTTCAAACACTGGGAGTTTTTAAGAAGAGTTTGGACAACCATTTGTCTGAAATGGTATAGGGTTTCCTGCTTGAGCAGGGGGTTGGATTAGAAGAACTCCAAGGTCCATTCCAACTCTGCAATTCTGTTATCCTCTCACTCAAACGAACTCACCTTCACAGGGTTGTTATTGTGAGGAAAATAGGAGAATGATGTAGTATGGTATATTCGCCGCCTTGAGTTATTTTTAAAAATAATAAAGGTGGGATATAAATAAAGTAAAAATATATCAACATAGTATTTACTAGCAATTATCTTTTCCCATTAACTTTAAAGTGTTTATACTGGAGATTACACTTAATAAAATCAAAGCTAGCTTTTTAGAAATTTGTTTGACTCGAATGACAAAGATTTGCTAGGAATGTATTGAAACTATGCTTTTGACCCTCAGCACAGCACAAACAGTTCTAAGTAACTGCTATTCAATGATGATGATGATGTTATCCATTCAATCATGTCTGACTCTTGGTGATTCTATGGGCCAGGTGACAGGTCTCTCCACATCTTCTCATCTTGCTCTGCTCTTTGAGTTTTTCTATTTTCTGGCTGATTTCAGCTTTGATAGTGTCCAGCCTCATGCTCTTTGGCAGTCTGGTTTCCTTTTAACCATTAGCTCTTCCCAACATAATTGCTATTTATGTTTATCAAATTTCTTTTACTTTTGCTTCTTTTACTTTTACCTTATTTTTAACAGGCATTTTATTTGCTCCAAAATACCACAATTGCTCATTAAATGACTGCTTGAAAATCACAATTAAAATTGTGAAATTACGTGAAATCTTTATGCAATAGTCAGATCCTAACAGATTACTAAAAGTAGTCTTGTCTCTATGGTGGTGCTAAGCCCTTTATTTATTACTGGAGTAACCATGCTATGCTTTGGATTTCTACAACTTCTCAATTTCTGCTGGTTCAGGTCAGTTCAATTCAGCCCACCTGAATTCCATTGACTCTTATCTAATGCCTATTCGCTTTGACCATTAATAGATCAGATTCTTGTAGAGAGCTTTATCTTACAATAAACTTATATATTCATTTGAACTGATGGACTCCTGATTTTCTGTGCTTGACATTCTGCTTCTGTATGCAACCTAATATTTTTTTTGCAATTTCCAGGAAGGTGTCTATGTTGCAAAAACACTACAAAATGTTGTTGCCTTTAATAATTAATTACTGAATTAATTATGCATAGATTTTTGTTAACTAAGTCCACATCCTTAACTAAGTCCACATCCTTAACTAAGTCTGCATATATTCTGTTGTTTTGCAAGTAGTTGCTATTGATAAAAAATTATTCTGATCTAACCTCTATTTCACTGCCCTATATCTTCTCTTGTTATTACTCCTCTTTAACCCCTGGTATATTCAGTATTTAACTATTAGTCTGATGAAATGTTCTGTTGTCCAAGAAAACATATGACATAAACATTTATTTATTTTCTAAGTATTACATGACAGCTTGTTTTATTGGGGACCCAAAGGGGGAGTACCACACTGGAGGTAGCTACTAGATTGATAGCAAATCCCACCTTGCCCCCCCCCCTCAATTCCCTGCTTCCCCTGGCTCATCTTTTAATCTCATGTTCCTGTATTTTCATTGTTTATTTCATACTTTTATTATCTTGCTAGTATTGTGTTTACATTTCTTTTCATTTCTGGTTTTAAGCTGCCTAAAGTAACCCCATTGGTGAGATAAATAGCAAATAAATTTAAAAATAAAGAAATATGTTCCAGAACTCTTTAGTTCTATGTATATTTATTTGAGAATCTATAAATACTTCCTTTTCTATGCTGCATATAAATTTCATTATGGTGGAGAAGTTAGTTTGGAGGGACTGTTATTCCCCCCTCCTCAAAATGTTTTAATTAAAGTATCTTCCTCTTCCATGAGGACAGATATCATAACTACTCCTTAGTATGTCCTAACAAGTACTAACAACAGTGTTTAATTTTAGAAGTACCATTTAAACATAAATAAAATTTAGCTGGCAACTGCAGAATTCATGTAACACTGTTACTTAAAAGGAAATGCCAATCTTGCTGAATCTTAAACACAGCCCCAGTTGGGATATGTAATGAGCCTTGATTTTCTGCATGGCAGATTTTTCATGCCACAGCAACAACGATTCGATGCAACTTTACAAAATGTCAAACCTTTCCTCGCCCAGAAGTGTCGCCAGAGGAGGTTGGGGGTGGGGATGGGGGGGAGAAGAAATCGAAATGGACAGAAAGTCTGCTTACCTTCCACCAGGGAGGTGAGTAAAGTGACATTTGCCGCTTTGCGCCTGCCGGCTGGTAAATTCAAACCGATTTTTTCTAGCCGCTCTCGCAACGATCGCCCCCCGTTTTTCGATTTGGCTCTGCAGTGACGAAAAAAGGAACGCGGGGATTTAAAACTCCGACGAATGTCCCCGGGAGAGAGAGCGAGAGAGAGAAAGAGAAGAGGACGGGGGCTGCGGGGTGGGAGGCACCAGAGCCTTGGCTTTGGGCACCAGGCGTGGCATGCAAGCAACGAACACAGTGGAGGCTTCGTGGTGCCACAGGGCGGGAAAGAAAGAAACGCCGCCCTTGGCAAGAGTCTAGCCCGGCCCCTTTGTAACCTGGACCCCTGTTGCTCCTTGGGCCGCCAGCGACGCTCGGCTTTGCTGGCTGCAAGTGAACGAAGAGGGAGGGTTATGTTAGCTCTGGCCCTGCTACTACCAGGAACAAACTGGCTGTTCTTGGAAAACTGCGTCACCAGCAGCATTTAGCCGTGCCATAAGGGTGGTGATTTGTGGTTGTTTCTGTTGTAATTCTGCTTACAAAACACTCAAAAGAGGCTAAGAAGTAAAAAGACTGGATTGGAGCCGAAGAATGGCCTGGTGTGGGAAGGGAGATTATGCCATCATCCCCAGCAATGCAGGGCACATTTGTGAAAGTATGTATTAATGGTGTGCAATAACAAAATCCAGTAAGTTTTTTGCATGCTTTTGCATAAGAAGTGTTTTGTATAATAATAGTTTCAAAGCAGCAACAGTAATAATGCAAAGCAACAAATGCTACTTCAGAAATGAGGGTTTAGCGCAGCCTGAAAAGATGCGATCCTATTATAGCAGCTGCCTGGCCCAGTCAGAGGAAGGAATTCAAAGGCAACATGACTGTTAGGCCTTCATCAGGAGAAAAGTTTGGGCAGCAGGAAGTGCCTTTCAAGGAGTTTAGGGTTCCACTGATTTTCAAATAATCATCATCCCCTTCCCCTCCGTTTGCATGTTTTTTATTGCAAATGAATGAAATAATCACAAATATAGGTAGGGGACCACTGGAGAAAGGGGGGATGCATCAGCAATGTATTTTGTTTTTGTGAAGAACTCATTTCCAAGGCAGGGATCCAATGAAATCTAGTGAGGTGGTCAGTGGTTGATCAATTTGGAAGGATAAGAGTGATCATTGACTTGGCTGACCATTGCCTGTGAGCTACAGGCAGGATCTCCACTAACATCTTCTAGACTGGAACAGTGGTTCTCAAAGGGTGGTCGGGGGCTCACTCAGGGGTCCTCAAAGTCAAATATGTTAACATTTCCCAGTTTTAATTTCTAATAGTCAAAATCAATAGATATAACCCACATAAACCAAAACTCTTTGGGCTCCTCATCATCGTTTTTAAGAATGTAAAGGGAGCTTAATGTTTGTGAACCAGAGATGAAACCCCCACCCCCACCCCGTTCCAACCGTCATTGGCCCAATGTAGCAGTTATGACAGATTTTATATTGCCTGAGTGATGCCAGAAAAATACTAGAAATCACTAGTGGGGAAATGATCCTAACCTTGCAAAACTAGGGAGATATACTCATGCTCACAGCATGTAGATTTGCAAATGGTCCAAACAGTTGAGTAGCATAGCCCCAGGTATACTAGATAACATAGATTTGGAAATTTGTGATTAGAGTCTGGTTGTTTCTGGAAGACCTTACAGTTTTTCTAAAATTGGATGTGTTGATTTTAGGACAATCTTTTTCTGACCTCATGCCTTCAAATGCCACACTGAGAATTTCCAGCCAGCATATAAGAGCAAAGGCTTCTCTTATTATTGTTCTCAATGCTGTTGATCCTTGAGATAGCTACTATCATGACTAACAGCCACAGTGTTGTGGTTGAGGTGCTGGATTAGGACCAGGGAGATTCAGTTTCACTAAGTGACTTGGGGCCAATCAGTCTCTTAGCCCACCCTATGTAGCAGAGTTGTTGGTATGGAGGAAAGAGAGTTGTGTATACTATCTGAAGGAAATCTCTCTGGCTAATCTAACTGTATTATTGCTGCCAGGGGAGGTAAGGTAGGTGTTCATTATTTTTAGAAGTTTTGTTATATGATGGTTTCTTTTTTTTTAATATTCTAAGCCACCCGGAGTCACCTATGTTTGGGTTGGGCAGCAATATGTGTTTGTTTAATAAAAAATAAAATTTCCAGGATAAAAATTTAAAAAATAAATCTTTTTCTACTCTTTTCAAGCCACCCATGCAAATAACCCTATGATAGATAATTCCATACTTCAACTACATAGGCATTGTGAAAAGCGACTCCATTTTATTTCTGCTGCATATTCTATCATTCTACTATATTGATGATCCCAAGTTCTGGCATTCTGAGAAAGATAAAAGAATTCCTCTCTATCAATTTCTTCCCTATCATGTGTAATTTTATATTTCTGTTTTATCGGCTTTACTCAATTTTTACCTAAGTTGATACTTCACAATAATGCTATTAGGTCCTTCACTTATTCTGGTTCCTTTTTTTCCCTATTTTCTCCAACATTACAATTTCATTTCTTGAATGATAAGAACTATGCAGTTTTCCAAATATAGTTGTATTGTCAGTGAACTGATACTGGAAATTTTATTTTCAGAATCCTTCCCAATGAATGCCTAGCTCTGAAATTCAGCTTTTTCACATTAAATTTATATTTTCTTTAAATTGTTCACCACAGAAACAAGACTGTATACTTATTCTGATTTTCTATACAAAAATAATTTTCCTCACTCTCATGTGCATTATTTTACTGTTACTTACAAATGAATAACATTTTATAGTCATTTTTCTAGTTTAAAAATATCGATTCAGAGTTTTTATTAATCCCTTTTTGTTTTAATACCTTCATCGGTTTTGGGTCTTCTGGCTTGGTCACATATCTATAAGTTGTTTTTGAACTAACTGGGAAGTACTAGTCCTAATTCATTGTTTGCTCTTTTCCATTGTGGAACTGTTCATCCCTATTTTATCCATTCTTTTTGATGTTTAAGACAAATACTGTGTCTATGTTTACTCAAGGGCTTTTCATGAAAGACTTGCATTTTATAAGTCCCAATAATAATATTTTGCCAATAATGCTATCATTAAAATTAAGGGAGTGCAAAAATAATCAGGAACTATGAAGAAGGAACTTCCTTCTTCATAGTTTCCAATCATATTTATAAATGCTCATAGCAATTATGTAAAAGAAATGAATATTATAAATTTATACTGGGAAGAGGAACAGAATTCTAAATGATTGCTTAAGACATTTCATGCATTTGAAACCTCATCTGCACCTTCATTCTCCACTAGTGCAATATACCGAATTAAATGGTAAATTATAAAATTCATAACCATTGATTATTTAAAACTAATTCAATTGTAACATTCAGTTAAAACTTCCAGACAATTTGCAGCATAGCTTATAACAATATTCAGAAATGCAAACAGGAACAACCCTAAAGTGAGGAACAATGTAATGAAGCACATCCACCTCCTTCTAAGGCAGATAAACATCCAGTTGACCTAAGAGACTCCATTCACAACTCAGCCACCCTGGGTGAGGAGTAAAGGTGGGACATTAGTGAAAAAGCTTTTTTGCCATTTGTTACCTATATCTGCTTAACATCTAGGCAGCTCCATTTTGGAATACTCTTAAAGCTGCAAGATACTTTAAAAGATAAACTCCAGGATATTGATATTGATCTGAACTCTAACATACAGAAATAGCTAGTTTGATTATTTAAAGAAAGTGGCCAGTCTTACAGAATTAATGAACCATGTAACGTGATTGGCATAATATAATGGGTGCCAGTGGCAATGACCTCTAGACTGTTATGTATATCTCATATGCATTCACTCTTAACCGCAACGGCTGCTTGTAGTAATCTTAATGCAGTTTTAATCCCATCAGAAAGTACAGATTGGCCTGCCTCATGACTTACCTTCTAAGAACTCCTCCAAGGAGGGAAGCGTTTAAGCACTCAGGAGGTGAAAGGCGCCGTTGAACTTCTCCAACAGTGACTTTGTACTTGGACGTCGAACTGAGCAAGGAGAGCCTCCCAGGTACCGAACAAAACACTTCACCTGTGTTTACAGACACACCACCAAGGAAGCCATCTTTGTTCATCATCAGAGAAGTAACAGATTTTGGAGGAACTGGAACTAGGAAGAGAGGAAAGCAGTATGGGCAAGATCAGCTTGTCAAGGCAGCCCACATAGCTCATAATTGCATTCATCCTGAAGAGTTTCCTACTGATTAATAAAAAGGATCTCAAAACTATTTTTAGAGAAGTGGCTGTCATTCATTTCATGTTTCATTTATTTATATGTTGCCTCTCATGAAAACATATTCAGGTATCATACAACATTAAAATAAATGCATTACATTATTTAAAGAAATAGTTACAATTAGAAATATATTAAAAAGCAATTACCAGTTAGAATTGTAGAACAAAATCATGAGAAGTTAAATGATTAGTGAGTGTAAGCATTTTCCTTACGTGTTTAAAGTAGGGGCCAGCAACCTGTGGCTCTGGAGCCACATGTGGCTCTTTCACCCCTCTGCTGCAGCTCCGTCACTCAAAATATGTGTCACAACTGCCAGCGACACTCACCAGCATACGATTTATTGAGCTTTTCAACCCCCAGTAGGCCAACCATGGATAAATCCAAGAAAAGAAAACTTTCAGAAGAAAACAGAATCTTTAATTCAATTATATATACTAGTTTTGTGGCCGCTCAAGAAATAGTCAGGTATGGGAAGGGTTTGAGGCTCCTGGTGTTTTCTTTTCTGTAGGAAACGGGTCCAAATGGCTCTTTGAGTGTTTAAGGTTGCAGACCCCTGGTTTAAAGTATACAGATAGTTCTTGACTTATGATCACCATTACTAAGCAAGTCACACCTTATTTTGCAACCTTCTTGCTGTAATCATTAAGCAAATCACTCAGCCAGATTCACTTTAATCCAGCTCCCCCTGTTAATTTTGCTTGTTGGAAGCTACCCTGGCAAGGTGACAAATGGTGATCAAATGACCCCAGAATGGTGCAACCATTGTAAATAAAGGCCAAAGGCCAGAATTTTACAGTGGAGATATTGTAATGGTTGTAAGTGCAAGAACTGGTTCTAAGTCATTTTTTCAGTGATTTCATAACTTTGAACAGTTGTTAAGCAAGTGGTCACAAGTCAAGGACTACCTGTAATAAAAAAAAACCTGAAATGCTGATTCAGCTTTTTAATTCTCTCAGCAGAATAGATAACCTCAGAAAACATACATTTGGAAAAGTAAGCCACCCCAAAGTAATTTTCTCTTTATGTATGAGGGACCAAAGCACTTACTTTTATTGAAGACTTTACCCTTTGCTCAGGAAGAACAGTATGTAGGTAAAGTAGATGTGATCATGTTCTGCTAATGTAGTAGTATGTGGGAATGATCTTGGGAGACCAATAAAGAGATAATGTCTAGGGAGCAGCCAAATAAGAGAGAAGATAGCCTGCATAGGGGGCAGAGCATGGCTCTCAGGAGGGGCCATCCCTAAATTATCAGGCTATAAAGTGATGGGGGGAAATTTTACTTTCAGACTTACAAGATACCGTTAATGTAAAGGAGAATTAGCTTATCTGGTCATGTTTCTCATCTAGTCTATCCGATAAAATTAATTCAGTAGCACTTGACAAGAAAAAAAAGAAAACTCTTATGATTTTGCCATGGAGAAATAGAGGAAATCACAGTTCTGATTGGCCCCAGATTTAGAGATTTATTTTTGCATTCTGAATTCCATGCTTGCATATGTGAAATTAGCAGATGTGCACATATAGGCCCATGCCCCACAGACTAAGTTACATACCATAACATTAAAAAGATATGCTATGTTGTATATCTTAGTGGACCCTAACCTCTTGCATGTTTTTCTTATAGCAATCTTTGTAGCTTAACAGTGAAAGTAATGTACACTGTGGCCCTAACATTCCCTTTTGTTAGGCATATTAGAATATATTCCATATATTAGAATATTGCAGAGAAAAGGTGATTCTAATAAAAATGTTTGCACTTTTTCAGCATCATGAATAATACTGTAGGCCAAACTTATTGATACTTTCCTCAGCAAATGGTTAGAACAAAACTTACCCCATCTTTCAACTTATAACATAACTGCTAGTTTTCAAGTCAGAAATGGCATATTTTTTGCAGTGCCATAACTAACCTTGGTTATATTGTATTTTTAATTATACTTTTAAATCAGGGGTGAAATTCAATTTTTTTTCCCTACTGGTTCTGTGGGTGTGGCTTGGTGGGAATGGCAGGGGAAGGATATTGCAAAATCTCCATTCCCACCCCACTCTGGGGCCAGCCAGCCGGTTCTCCGAACTACTCAAAATTTCTGCTACTGGTTCTCCAGAACCTCTTAGAACCTGTTGGATTTCACCCCTGATTTAAATATATATCTTTATCAAACATGTATCTATTTATATTACATCTGGGTAATGTTTTTACAACATTACAAGTAATAAATAGAAAAACCATAACCATTTAGTTCACGACAAGTAGCCCTCAGCTTACAAACACAGTTTGGATTGCAACTTCTGTCACTAAACAATGCAGACATTAAGTGAGTCATGCCCAATTTTATAACCTTTTTGCTGCAGAGGTTAAGTAAATCATATGGTCATTTAGCAAATTCAACTTCCCTCATTGACTTTGCTTGTCGGAAGTCCCCTGGGAAGGTAGGAAATAGCAATCATGTCATAGGATGCTGCAACCTTCATAAATACATGACGACCCAAATTTTGATCATATGACTGCAGGTATACTGAGAGACTGTTAAGTGCAAGGACCATTTTCCAGCTCCATTGTAATTTCTAACAGTCATTAAATGAATGGTCATAAATTGAGGGGGTACCTGTATTTTGCTTTAGAATATAATGTTCAGAACAATTGAAAAAAAAAAAGTATGATACTAAGAAAGTATAAAACTCAAGCTATAATCAGTACAGTATAGTAGCTGAAGTGTTGCTCTTAGACCAGGGGAGCCATTTTGAGTTCACAAATAACCATAATGCACCCTGGGCAATTTCATTCTTTTTCAAATCAACCCTCCTCAGAAGAGGCTGCTTTTGTAGGAAAAAAATTAGGGGAAAACTTATTGTGCCTTGAGCTACCAGAGAAAAGTAAGGATGTGAATAAATAATAATAATAACTACAATCCTATCTAAATAGGGATCTCTGCTGATGATATAGGTTGTAAAGGTTAATGTATACTGATAAAAAACACAATTTTGTTGTAAGCTGTTTATTATTCCACTAACAAGAAAAGAAAAATAACCCAAAGAGCTTGTAATTTAAATTTGAGAAAGAGAATGACCCAGCTAGATCATTTTTCATTGAATACTGACTTAATATGCCTTAAAATATTTTTTTCTTTTTTTTAATTTAACAAGCCAAAAAAGCCAATATATCTCCTTTGAAAACATTCTTTCTTATGTATATATTTAACTGGGAAGGGGAACAAAGAGAATAAATTTAATTATACAAAATGAATAAAAATTGTTTGTGGCATATATGAAATTGTAAAATATACTATTCATACTCCTTAAGATCATCTGGTTTTGTCAACATGTTTCTTGCAGGAACAATGGATGCTAAGAGAATTACATTAAAACAAATTTATTTCTTCAAAGATGATTTAGATATAAAGTTCTCTGTAGCCCTCTCTTACCTCTTCAAAAAAGAACCCCACCAAAAACAAATTTAAGCAATTTATTTCTGACAGGAATTTTATTTACAATTGAATCTAAAAAAAGCCCGTCATATTTGGGAGATTTGTGTATAATTTAACAGCAAGTATGCTGATCAACCAACAAATCACTTTAATTTACATAAAAGCTCCCTGAATATCTCCACTCTCCTTATTTCTTTTTCTGCAGTCATTGATAATGAAGAATTCAGGTTCCTGGTATATTTGTGTATCTTTGGTAGAGTCCCAATCTATACAGAGCAAAGAAAAAAGCGCTTACAACAGGATTTCCAAATCTACTCCAACATCTTCATAGTAAAGAGTAGTACAGCATGGGCCTTCTTGTAAGGTGAGAAGGAAGTCCCGCTTATTTAATGGGGACTATTGACTCTTAAGTATGTGTTTAATAAACAAAATAATGAAAGTACTGTAAGATGAGTAGTCAAATATCTGGATACAAGAATCATCACCTCCTGGGTATTCATACCAGAAGACAAAGTAACTTAAACACTATCATGTGCAAGTAGGGTGGAATAGCAGTACTTAGAACCTCTAAGCAGAGGTTGTTAATACCATGACAGACACCCTCAATATAGCCTGTGACAATTGCAGAAATCCCAGTTCTGAGAGAAATGTCCTAAATCTGAGTTCAGTGTAAGCAAATGACCAAACGGGCTTTCTTCATAGAAAACTGGCTATGTTTCTGATGTTGGTTTTTTCATTGCTGTTGATTGTGATTTCATACTTAAGCAGATGAACTTTGAGTCTACTAGCGTGAAACTTCAGCCAATCCATTCTCCATTCTAAACTATTTCGAGGCCAACCTCTCTGATCTTCACCAAGCATTCACTTTCAAATCAAGTTCTAGGATGAAGGCATCAATAGCTAGACAGGTAAGCTTTATCTAGTTTCACCAACATATGGCAGGGTTTTGGGAAGGACAAGGGAGCTCTCAAAATGCTTCTTGCAATCCCTCCTCCAGTCTCTGCTCCTGTCAACTGGGCTATTTTTATCCATCATCCTCAATACCATATTCTTCAATATACCAGGTAACAGGCATAGAAAGAAGTGTGAAATGAATAGGAGTTTCCTCAATGCCCCTGCTAAATTCAGTCCTTTCTTTGCATCTGTTACCTGCCAGTCAGGCTATTTCAGGACACGGGTGCAGCACTAAACCTATGTTCAGAAATAGCCCAATTGTGGGGGGGGGGGAGAAATTGGGGTGAAAATGTATTTGTAAAACTTTTTCAATAAAAAAAAAGAAAGAAAGAAATAGCCCAACTGCCAGATAACTGCTTGGTAAGGAAGGAGAAGCAAGACAGAAAGAAGAAGGATCACTAAAGGTACAATCAATAGCATGAAAACTCAGTCTTCAACTAATGTTGGAAAGCAAAGGTGGTAGTGGCAATGAGTGACCAAGGACTCCAATTC